AGGCTGACGCCATGGCACTCACTCTAGCCAGGGCAACAGAGTGAGATTCTGTCTCAAAAAAAAGAAAAAAAAAAAGAGTAACATCTATTGGATGTTGGGCAGGGGGGAGGGGGGAGGGGATGGGTATATGCATACACAAAGAGTGTAACGCGCACCACCTGAAGGATGGACATATTTGAGGCTCGGACTTGGGGGGGAGGGGGAGGCAGAGGCAACATACATAACCTAAATATCTGTACCCCCATAATATGCTGAAAAAAAAAAACTCACCTGATAAAGGCAGTCTGCTAACTACCCACTAGAATCTACTTTTTCATAACAGACACTTACCTTTCTCTGCGCTTTAGCCGGACACTTGACTGACTGACTGCCCAGTTAGAGACACTGCAGCTAGAGCAGGCTATGCAGCAAGTACTTGCTGATGGAATGATGGAATGTGAACAAAGGTCAGACTTTTCCCCTTAAAACTGGGCATGTGTCCCTGAACTCCCCCACTCCCTACATGGGTTGAAGTGGGAATGAGAGCCCAGCAAGCCAGCTTCTAACCATACAAAACCACCCTCCTTAGGATGGTGGAGCAACAAAATCAGATTGGGGCCCTGCACCACTTGTTTCCTTTGACCTGTACATGAAAGCAAACCATCTTATTTGAGCCATTTTGTTTTTGAGTCTCTGTTGCCCCAGATTATCCAGTATGCTAATTAATAACAGCAGGAAGGACCACTTAAAGGCTATATCTTCCATCTCTTGCACTAAAGATACCATTTAAGAACGAAGCACTATTGATCTTTTAAAAATGCAATCTAAAATCACATTAAAAATCAGGCAATGAATCTCCACAATTAATCCATAAATTTAATGCAATATTCCAATGTAAATCTCATTAAGATTTTTCATGAAATGTGACAAACTAATTAAATTCATATGGAAGAGCCAGGCACAGTGGCTGATGCCTCTAATCCTAGCATTTTGGGAGGATGAGGCAGGAGGATTGTTTGAGGCCAAGAGTTCGAGACCAATCTAGCGAGACCTTGTCTCCACTAAAAATAAAAAAGTTAGCTAGGTGTTGTGGTGCGTGCCTGCAGTCCCAGCTACTTGGGAGGCTGAGCAGGAGGATCGCTTAAGCCCAGGTGTTGGAGGTTGCAGTGGGCTGTGATGACGCCACCGCACTCCACTCTGGGAAAGAGTGAGGCCGTGTCTCAAAAAAAAAAAAAAAAAAAAAAAACTCATAAGAAAGAAAGGTACAAAAATCAGTAAGAAAAATTACCAAAATAACAGGATTTACCTTTTATCAAAATATAAAATTATAGTAACTTAAAAAGTGTGATATTAGCAATAAATGGAACAGAGTAAAGAAACAGGCTTATATAAATGGAAATAAGCAAAAGCCATAAAGGAAAAACATGAATAAAACTGACAACATAATTCAAAACATCTATGACCAAACACATACACAAACACCACAAACTGAGTAGCTTCTACCTTTCATTACAAAAGGAATCAAGCAAAATAAGCACTTGAAATGACAGTGTGATAAATTCAAAGTGCATTGAAGTACAATAATCTCCTTGGTCTTAAAAAATTTTAAATAAGAAAACTGAAGACTCATAGGCAAATATACGTGAGATAAAAGTCTAATACCAGCCAGGCGTGGTGGCACATGCCTTTAATCCTAGCACTCTAGGAGGCTGAGGAGGAAGGATCACTTGAGCTTAGGAGTTTGAGACCAGCCTAAGCAAGAGTTGTCTCTACTACAAATAAAAAAATTAGTGGCTTGGTGGTGTGAGCCTACAGTCCCAGCTACTCGGAAGGTTGAGGAGGGAAGATCACTTGAGCCTAGGAGTGAGACTGCAGTGAGCTATAATGGCACCACTGCACTCTACCTGGGGTAACAGAGCAAGACTCTGTCTCAAAAAAAAAAAAAAAGGTCTAATACCAGCTCACATATATTTTGAAAAGTTAGTGAATGGAAATGAAGTTAAGATTTGCTCTACCCTAAGTAGATATACAGGCACACACATTTTTAGGTTGCAGACAGAAGTGTTGAACTGAGAAAAGGCTGGGGACAGAAGGAAAGATGGTTTTTGGCTGTAGACTGCTGCACTTTAAGCCCCAGTGAATGATAAGCAATCATTTATTATTTGAATTGGTTGGTCTCTTCTTCCGTAAGACAGATGGTCAGGACTCAGCACAGTTTCCAAGACGTGCTTACATCAACCACCCTCCTTAACTGTTCTTCAGGGTGCACCACACAGCAGAAATACCAAGATGATCACCTCATGATTTCAAAAGAGAAAAAAAACTGAATACCCCGGTCACTCTGCGTTTCAGTGAGGTCCTTGTTAGTAGCTCTGTTCTGATCCTCCACATCCACACTGACGGGGCACTCCCACCCTGCTGCTCTACAGTCACCAGCTCTGAGCAGAGGCCACGACCGAGGAGCTACTTTAAAATATGCTGGTTCCGTGTACTTCACAGAACATACTACACACATGGTGGTGTAGGGAAACAATTTTATAACCCAGTTGTTTTCACTAAGGTAAGTCAATGATTTTCTTTGCATTAAAAAGTCTGGGCCAGGTGCAGTACCTCATTCCTGTAATCCCAGCACTTTGAGGGGCCAAGGCAGGAAGACTGCTTGAGCCCTGCAGTTTGAGACCAGCGTGGGTAACATACCAGACACCCAGTCTCTACAGAAAAAAATTTTTCAATTAGCTGGGTGTGGTGGTGCACGCTGTAAGTCCCAGCTATTTGGGAGGCTGAGGCAGGAGGATTGCTTGAGCCCAGGAGTTTGAGGCTGCAGTGAGCTATGATCTCATCATTGCACTCCAGTCTGGGTGACAGAGTGAGACCCTGTCTCTCAAAAAAAAAAGAAAAAAACCCAAAATAACAAAAAACAAGTCTGGAAATATTTTAATCTATTTTTAACTCAGTAGGGTAATTCACAGGAAAACTAAATAATCAGTCAAAAAGAGTTTCTTGCTGTTTTTTAACTGGAGCCTTTTAAAACAAAAAATTTAAAACATACCTTCTTGTCCTGCCCAAATGATGGAATATTGTACTAATGCTTCAGAGAGTAACTATATTAATGAAACATCAACAAGTTACAGATAAACATTTTAATTGATTAAATATATTATTTTCAAGATTTTTTTGAAATCGCACTTATACTGTACTAATCAACAGCCAAAGGCAATAAAAAAGTTTAAAACCAAAAATGTACTGACATGAACACCTGACAGGAACTGCTGCTACTGAAGTAACACACTGCTCCCGAGAACAATGACATTTTTAGAAGATAATTCATCTTAACATGTGCAAGGACAAATTTGTAATCAAAGGCTGGAAGAAATATATATTAGTGCCTGCTTTTTAAAAGTTTATTTTACATTTTAAATACAGTATTTTTCTCATTAAAAAAAAAAAAAAGCCAGGAAGTGCCTAACTCCGTGGTTTCTATCCCATATGTACATGAGAGCTGACAGAGGACAAATGTTCTGGATATAACAGTATGGATACTTATGAGTTGGGACTACTTCTGAAATGAAATTTAAAAACACAAATTAAGCACTGCTTAAGAGAAAATAATCCAGTTTCTGAACAACCAACAAAGAACAGAGTTAGATATGTATAAAACCAGGTATTAAAAAACAGAAAGAAATGCAGCACACAAAAAACTTAAACACCCCATATGTAGTGAACTGTATATACTGCAACTAATCAATGGAAAGAAACCCTCCTACAAGAAGTGATTTATGATTTGAAATTTTAAAAATCTAAGTATTTCAGTAACAACATATAATAACAACATTAACTGTATATTGCCATCTTTGTCATTTGCTATCTGGACCACCCCCTCCCATCTGGAAACAAGAATCTCTAGACTAGCCAATCATTTACACAAATTTGAGGCAATTAATGCGTATTTGTTTTCTTTACTGAAAACAGAAAAGATCTACCTCTTTCCATTAATAAAGACATAATACAGATTAAAGCTATAAAATTTAAGCATGGGCATGTGCATTTCCAATTCTCTTTAATAAGCAATTCCAAACTGGAATCATGTAGGGTTTGTGCCTAAGTAGTAACAAATTAAAAGAAAACGGACTGTCTCTGGCAGTGATTTCCATATTAGTGCAATGTTATTTTCCATACACTGAATTACATTTAAATGATTTTATATATTTTAATTCAGTAGGTGCCAATTTGAGTTTACAAAACCTCTAACTGTATTCTTTGTGCAGAAAAGTTTCAATTTGAGATGTTCTATGAAGCCAAATCAAAACAAAAATTAATTCATTTTATTTTACTACTAGTAATATGAATACCAAATAAAGAGACAAGGACTGAAAGTTTGTGGAGGCTCTATGCTTTTAAAAGCACAGATGAAAGGTAATAAAGATACTAAGAAGGATAAAATGGAGATCATGAGGATGTCTGATGTGTTCCACGTATCTTGATACTTCAATTATCAATTGGGTTTGCACATTCTAGTTTAAGATTATCTCAGAAAGTAACTCTCTGTGATGTAACTCTAAACTAAACAGCTGCACCTAAAGCAAAACCAATCAAGGTCACTTGAACAAGATCAAATTGAGACAACTTCTTTTTCTATTATAATCTGTGAGGTCTTGAGTTTTTAACTTTTAAAAATGATGACCTTCAATCAAAGCCTGATGTAGACTATCAAACTTAAGGATTTCAAATTAGAGGGTGCTGTATCTATGGGCTCTCATAAAACATATGAGGGAGGCAGCAATGGACTAACCATCAGCCAGGTAAGGTCAATGTTGGGATGTTTTATTTCGGAGACTTTAAATATTTAACACATAGCTCATGTAACTTCAGCATCCACTAGTGACTCTGTTGGTCAGCACCCAAAGGCTGGATGAGTCTGAGGAATCCTTTTTAACCCCAAAGTATTAATGCTAAAGAGTCTCAAGGAAATTCTATTCCCAATAAGAGTTTACAAACCATCAGACCAAAATCAATAAGTAAACACTGACTCCAATGCTCCACAAAAGTCAAAAGAAACTTCCAAATTGAATGCCATCTTCTGCCCAACCCTAGACTCCAGACTTTGTCACAACATCTTTATCTAGTATAATAGACTCTGTAGTAGACTGATTTTGACCTCCACAAAGAGTAGGAGTTGTCAAACTTGAGGAGATAGACTCCTCTCCCTGGATACTGGTGGCTGCCAGCATACACTTCCTCATGACAGTCCCGTCGATACACAGGCACAATCTCATCCAGCAGAGGCTTGTTGGCGTTCTTTTTGGCTTTCTCTTCACAACTAATGTTTTCTGTGAGAGAGAACAGAGACAAGTCAATGATTTGGGAAAAGCATATTTGCATCAAGCAATTAAACTCTATCCTTTCTTTGAGCAATGGCTTGTTAAGAATTCTGCTGAACCATTCTACAAGTTATGGGCATGTGACCACATATTCTTTCAAATACCTGAGTACCTGCTATCTACCAAGCACCGTTCTGGGCCCTGGGAGCCCAGTGGTGAACATCTGGTGTGGGAACAGTCAGCATCCCACCCCTCTCTGTGCTCTTACTGCTGCGCCTATTTCAGGACCCCATTTGCCCCCTTCCATCTCCACTCGATTTCTAATTCCTCCCCAAAAGGAGGAATCTCAGTCATCTAAGAACAAGGAAAATGGTGCTCTGATCCTCCTTCTTCTCAATAATATGAGAGTCTTTTCCATTTTAGGAAGAGGACAATGTCACTTATGAGGACTACTACTTTCTGTATATCTTAAAAATGTAAAGACTAAAGTGAAAAAACCACAGTAAAGAGGTTTCAGAGACACCCTGAAAATTCAATTACTTTCACTATGCCTATTTAACCCAGAGATGATCCAAGTGGCAAAAAAACAAGCTCTGATTATAGATTTGCTCCAGTTAGCAGTTTTCTGAACTGTCATGATATGAAGTTAGGGGGAAAAAACCCTCCAGAAACCTACAGGAATGAGAAAATTATGAACCAGCTTGAAAGTCTCAGTTTAACATATTAAATATAAAAAACCTCAAGGAAAACAGGTCAAAAGAATATTTGGCACAGAATTCAGGCACCATGAGTTAACTGGGTGATGTCTGTCAGTGGCCACCATCAGCAATTTATAACAAGATGATAACCAAAGCTTAGTAAGATTAAAAAAACAAACAAACAAAAAATAAAGCAATTTAAAAAAGGAAAGTCTGAGAAACTCACAGTCCGGAGGCCTTTAAAGAGACACAATGACTAACTATTATGTGGCATCCTGGATTAGATCCTGGAATATTCTTCAAAAATGAAGAAAATCTGAATAAATATGGACTTCAGGTAATAATAATGGTTCATTATTATTATTATTATTATTATATTATTAACCAATACCATAATAATGGTTGTGATGAATGTTCCATAGTGTAATGATGTAAGATGTTAACAATAGAGGAAACTGGGTGTATGGTACACAGGTACTCTTTGTACTATCTTTGCAACTTCTCTGTTAAAACTATTCTAAAATTAAAAGTTTACTTAAAATAAAAAGCAGATCACAATCTTACAAAAGTAGGTCCAAATCAGATTTGCTTTACCATAGCAATACTTATAATTAAGCATCTTTCATGTGCAAATAATACAGGTTCAAAATGTACACAATTATCGATATCTAAGAAACAGACTGGTCCATTAATAAGACCCAAATTTTGTTCAAAATCTACAAAATTAAAGATTACTGGGATAGATGGAAAATGCACATTTCTTCAATTTAAGCAAAGATTTGGGACCCGGAAACAATAGAGTAAGTGGAGAATTAAAGCAGGAAGATGGATTGCCACCCATGCTTCTTCAGAGAAAGCAAACTCTGCTGTCTACCTTTCAAGACCTAAGGGAGAAAAAGCAAACCAGCAAGCAACAACAACAAAAAAACTGTTCTCTTTTTTCATCTGAAATCAAGCCAAAAGGACTCCTCACAAATTGCCCATTATGGAAAAGGCATCGTGGCACAGTAACCTCCTAAGGCATATGGACAAACACAGTTTATGAGCTAAATCTTCAAACAGGACAGTTATGCTCACTCTTAGCAAACAATTCTTGGGAGCAATAAACCCTCACTGTTGTTCCTGTTGATACACAGCTTTTAATGGATTTTAATGGATTAGTTTTAGCTGCAAAGCGTTTTATGATTAGGAATGGGGCAAGGGTAGGTAGGCAATGCCATCTTCCATTTGAGGGACATACCTTAGAGCTACCTCAGCCGTTTTCATCAACGCTAGTCTCAATATCAGTAACCCCAAAACTATCATCAACTGAGCTCTCTAGCAGGCAAGCCAGGAGACATGTATCACCTCAACTGACTTCTGAACAGAGAATTCTTCTATATTATTCACAAAACTCTTTATAAGTACAGTAATTTGCACACACACAAAAAAATTTTTCTTCCCAGACATCTGCTAACAGTCTGATTTAATGAGTCCCTGTGATGCGTCAGAAAGGCCAGACAGGGCTTAGCCCCTGGTCCCAATGTGTTGAGGGGTTTTTTTCACTTTCATATTTTTCTTTCCGGTCAGTAAGTAGTATTTATGGGAAATGCTTTACTTTGCTGATGGTGCTCAGGAATAAAGACTGCTAAAAACGAAATGCCACATAAGACGAAGCAGCTCAAGCTCCCACATTTACCAGTTCAAATGCAGACCTGCAGTGTAATGAAGATTTTGAATCTGCTTCTGGGGTGAGAGTCATCCGCAAGATGCACTGCAATGTCTGGGATACCCTGACGGTTCATGTAAATGACGGTACAGAATAAAAATTATCTTTGAAGCTGAAAACTCATTAGTATTAAATTAAATATTAACTGCTAAATTGAACACTAAATTAAACTTAATTTCAAGAAGTGCTATGCCGTGTGTTTCTATACAGGACCCTAGAGTGTGGGCCCAGAGTGTGGCACGGTGTGGTAATATGATCAAGCAACTCTATGCCTCAAAAGTTGAGTGAACTTATAGGCTCGCTCCACGCACTTCCAACAATACCGCTTTATATTTATCCCAGTATAATCCCTATGAAACGACATTAACGACTCTCTTCAAGAACAAGCAGTCTATTTACAAGTCACCTGAAAGGTCAGTTAGTCCCAAAGAACTAAGTCAGGGTGCTTTCCATTCACATCGTCAGGGCTCCTCCATATCATTCTCAGTCAAGTCAACAAAATGTAAGTGCTAACTAGGTGTGTATAAAAGCCCCAAGTTCTAACTTTTCTGGGTAACAAAATTAAGAAGACCATCTTCTTAATAAGCAATATATTTTATAACCTACTTCCTAGGTCAAGATAGTTTAGACTGACCTTGAAAACACCCAATTTTGTCTACTTATTCAGAGAAAATAAAAAATTCTACTCTAGTAAAACAGGGATTTCCAAAGGGAAGAATAATTGAAATTTCTTTAGGTGGAATGTTCTGGTGAGTTTCTGTATTTACATAAAAAAATCTTAGAATAATGACCTAAAAAGCTAATACTGGAAACATAAATTTAAATAAATTACAGGGTTAACAGAAATTCTTACATGTTCCTTTAAAATTTTTCAAAATCATCTTGCATATCTGGCTTTTCAACACATAAGGCTGGAACTAAAATGGTATTCAGAAAGCAGTAAAATGGCAAATTGTCGAACAGACTTTCCTGACATTCAGAAAAATTCGGGTTCAGGTGCCAATCCCCTATAGGAAGCTGGCATCTCTTACAACCTTTTCAGCTCAAGGTCCCACTAATGAAGAGGCTGTTCCCTGACCAAGAAATGTTAATCAGGAAGCATATGGCTTCAGGTATCTATGAACCATGTACCACTTTTGCCAACACAGAACCCAGCAGCTACTGAATACAGACCAATGGTTCTACCTTCCTCCTCCTCATCGTCATCGCTGGACTCACTGACATGCACGCTGACAGCAGTGTTTGGAGAGTCTGTCCATTCAAAATACACCCCAAACCCAATGTCATAATTGTCTGTAGCAAATTCCCAAAAGAGATATGATCCTTCTTCGTGGGTGGGTACTCGAACAGTGACCACTTCTCCTCGGCCCACTGTAATCACGGAATCTGCATCCTGCCGAATCTTCTCTTTGAAGTCTTTGATCTGGGGTCTTGTCCACATGGATGGAGCTGCTATTACTGGAAGAGATTCTAAAGGCAACAGGAATTACAAAAGCTAAATTGAAAGAGCCTTCACCCTGGAGGCAGCAATATTTACATAGGACCACCTGTCCAGCTGCAGTCAGGCACCAAGTACAATATGGTCTAGCTTACTTAGATCAGGGAGTTGGAGGAATATAAAAGCCTCCCTATGAGTTTCTCCAGATTACTACATTTAACGATGCCACAGGTACTCACAGGTCATACTACTTCAAGTAACAAATGCGATCCTCAATCTTTGGAGTGATTTTTTTCAGTACTCTAATTATTAATAGGGGATTTAAGAGTGACTTTGGAAACTCCCTGACTGGAGCTATGGAAACATTCTGGCAAAGAAGACAGATCTGGACCCGAGAATAAATTATTCTTTTGGATATGAACAAAGAAAACTGGGCTTTCACTTCAGCTTATCTGTTGGAAAAAAGTCTTGACCTCTGAGAATTCCACATTTCTAGGAGCTATTCTAAACGAGCTCAAAGAAACAGAAATATTTGGACAGGATTAGAACCATTAGGGACTAAGAAAAAGGGTAAAGTCTTGTTATTGAGCAGTATCTATGTGCACTGAACTACCCAACTCTTCCAGAGTTAATTACAGAGACCTTTATCAAAGATTTTCTCTCATTTCAAAATACTGGTATAAACCCTTGATAAGACAGTTTGGGGACAGCAAACCAAGGGATTTCAAGGTCTTTTCTGAAGCCATTTTCTGTTACTTGTTCTAAAAAGACAAGGAAGGCGTGGTGGCTCACACTTGTAATCCTAGCACTCTGGGAGGCTGAGGCGGGAGGATTGATTGATCTCAGGAGTTCGAGACCAGCCTGAGCAAGAGCAAAACCCCATCTCCCATCTCTACTAAAAATAGAAAAATTAGCTGGGTGTCATGGCGCATGACTGCAGTCCCAGCGACTCAGGAGGCTGAGGCAGGAGGATGGCTTGAGCCCAGGAGTTTGAGGTTGCAAGTGAGCTATGATGATGCCACTGCGCTTTAGCTGGGGTGATGAAGTGAGACTCTGCCTCAAAATAAAAATAAAAAGATAAGGAAGATCTTTGAAATCAAATTTCTTATGATCCACACCACCATCCCTGACCACTGTCACTGAAATGCTCTTTTCTTCCTCTTTACTTAGTTAACTCCTAACTCCTGTCTCAGATCTCTCCACTCAACTGGCCCTTCCTCAGGAAAGCCTCTGGTGACCTCTCTCATTAGGTCACACCCCCATAACACAATACATGTTCTCGAACTGTAGTATACCTCTCTCTCCACCATAGTACTTACTACAGCTATAATTTACATTTTCTGTGTTTATTGTGCCTCACCACTGTACCCCTGCACTTAGAAAACCTTCACCCAATTGTTGAATGAATGAATGAGCTGCCCATGGAAAGCTATCTTCTAGGCAACATGGTCCTTTAGTCTCAAAAAATATAGTAATATATGGTAGCCAGCCTACAATATGGCCCCAGTGACCCTCACTTCCAGGTCTTCATGCACTTGGGGGGGTTCAATACCCACGATATATGAGGGTTGGTACGTGTGACCACCAGAATACGGCGCAAGTGCTAATGTATTACTTCCAAAGTCAGGCTTTGGCTTTGGCATAAAAGGTACTGCCACTTCTGCCTTATTCTCTTTTGGATCATGTGCTCAGAGGGAGCCAGCTACTGTGTGTTGAGAACATTCAAGTAACCCTGTGGAGAGGTTTCGTGGGGCAAGGAACTGAGGCCTCCTGCCAACGGCCAGCACCAACTTGCCACCCATGTGAAGGAAACATTTTGGAAACAGATCGTCTAGTCCCAGTCAAGCCCTCACATGACTACAGCCCCCGCCAACATTTTGACTGCAACCTCATGAGAGACCTTAAGCCAGAACCATCCAGCTAAACTGCTCCTGAAATCCTGACTCACAAAAACTGTGTGAGATAATAAATGTTTATGGTTAGTTTAAGCTGCTAAATTTGGGTGTAATTTGTTACATAGCAATAGATAACCAATATACATAATAAGACAAATGACATCTTTTGTCTTAAAAGTGTCCAAAAGACATCTGATTTGCTCTTCTATACTATTCTAAGAGTCTCCAGAAGCATCAGATTCCGACTAAAAAAAGTAAAAGGGTATTTAACTCTCAAAAATATGTAATCACTCTCAAAAGCTAGTTAACCTGACCTTGTGGATTTGCTTTTAATGGAGTCTGAACTATGACACCTGGATGAACACATATGCCAAACCATACCTTTTGGTCCATTCTCCAGGGCTGCTTCTGCAGTTTCTGGTTCAAGTTCTTTTTCAGAGTTGTCAGTGTGGGTTTTGGCCTGTCCGTTAACTGACATCATATCACTTGGCGCAGTTGCATTCACTTTTGAAGACGCAGGCAAAGAAGCCCCAGCCACTACTACTTCCTGTTGTTTCTGTAATGCTGCCTACAAGTCGAGAAAAAGTGAAGATACAATGACCAGGAAGGCTAATAAATAGGACATTTGCCCTGGAGTGCATTCTCACCACATGCTTTTGCCCTACCTCAGTACTCTGCTCTAAGAAATTACTAATAAACTTTTTTTTTTTTTGGAGACAGAATCTCACTCTTTCACCCCAGCTAGAGTGCCGTGGCGTCATCATAGCTCACAGCAACTTCAAAATCCTGTGCTCAAGCGATCCTTCCCCCTCAACCTCCTGAGTACCTGAGACTACAGGCGTGCACCACGACACCCAGCTAATTTTTTTTTTTCTTTTCTTTTTTTTTTTTTTTTTGAGACAGAGTCTCACTCTGTTGCCCTGGCTAGAGTGAGTGCCGTGGCATTAGCCTAAGCTCACAGCAACCTCAAACTCCTGGGCTCAAGCGATCCTACTGCCTCACCCTCCCAAGTAGCTGGGACTACAGGCATGCGCCACCATGCCCGGCTAATTTTTTCTATATATATTTTTAGTTGTCCAGATAATTTCTTTCTATTTTTTTAGTAGAGACGGGGTCTTGCTCTTGCTCAGGCTGGTCTTGAACTCCTGAGCTCAAACAATGTGCCCGCCTCGGCCTCCCAGAGTGCTAGGATTACAGGCGTGAGCCACCGCGCCTGGCCTTAATTTTTTCTATTTTTATAGAGACTGAGTTTCACTCATGCTCAGGCTGGTCTCGAACCCCTGGCCTCAAGTGATCCTCCCACCTCGGCCTCTCGGAGTGCTAGGATTACAGGCATGAGCCACTGCACCTGGCCACTAATAAACTTTTATAAGTTTTTTATCTTATCTATAATGAATAGTATAATATCAAACTGATAGCTAAAAATGATAAAAATTAATGTGCATAAGAAACTGTAACTGATGATCACATATTTGTGATCTGAGAATCACTAGAAAAATTAAGTAGGAAAAGTTAAAGTAGACAGAAATAATCAACCCAAAATAAAACTATTAAAGGCAAAAACTAGGCCAAGTGTGGTGGGGTGTACCTGTAGTCCCAGCTACTTGGGAGGCTGAGGTGAGAGGATCATTTGAGCCCAGGACTTTGAGGTTGCAGTGAGCTATGATGACGCCACTGCACTCTAGCCTGGATGACAGAGCAAGACCTTGTCTCAAAAAGAAAAAAAAAAAAAAAGGCAAAAACTGAACACCGTAATATGTGTTCTAAAAATTGCTGAAAGAAGAAAATCTTCTTGATAAAATTCAAATTAGAAAAATTAAACTTGGTAGAAACAAATGGTCACAGAAGAAAATTCACAAAGGCTGAAGCCATAATAGGTAAAATTTGATATGGGCCCCCAAAGGAACCAACAAATCAAATATGGACAATTATTTTAATATGGACAAAAATAATCAATAAATTAATAATTACAGAAAACATATGACAATTAAATTGAAAACCTGTTAATGTTATAAAAAATACTGACTTAAGAATTAAATAGGCTTATGGAGTTTGAGGTAAAAATATTTTCTCAATGAAAATTTGTCACTATTTACATAATTATGATTAAAATGTGTATCCATTAATATGAAGTCAAAATGTCCTGAGTCAAAAATGGGAGTAAAAACATCTTAAACCCAAAGGACAACTACTTTGGGACATTCCCTTTCTAAATCAAGATAGATACTATTTGAAATATTTAACTATTACTTAAGTAACTTTTGGGAGAATTATAACATACATATAGAACAGTACACAAATCATAAACTATACAATTTGATCAATTTTCTTAAATCAAAAATATCCATAGAACCAACACTCAGATCAAGACATTATCTGCATCCCAGAATCCTTTGTATCCCTTTCCGGACACCCCCCACTCCAAGGGTTACAACCATTCTGACTGTAATACTACAGATTTGCTTTGCCTATTTCTAAACTTTATATAAAGGGATTATATGGTATATGCTCTTTTTTATATCTGGCTTCTTTCACTCAACATTGTTTTTGTAAGGTTCATCTATAGGGCACGAATAATTATATTTTGTTGTTTGCATTTATTATAGGATATTCCACTGTGAAAATATAAAATTGATTTATCCATTCAAATGTTGACAAGCATTTGGGCATGTAAGCAATGTGATAAACTAAAACACCAAGTCACAAGTAAGCATATGTTCACTGTGGTAATAAATAAGGAAAAAAGCCTTTACAATCATGGTTTAGGGATGACATATTCTGGCACATCTCTACACACGTTTCATTTACAAGCCAATTACTTAAATGAACAACAATACCTTTCTCTGCTGCTAGTATACGCTAGTCACACACTAAAGATTTCAAAATACCTTCTCCAAGGCCTAGATTTTCAGTAATTTTTGTATTAGTTTTCTAGAAAGAGTCCCAGCTTCCACAAAAAGTGCATATAACCAAAACAAGTCAGCACGCTCAGAACATTCACTGCATGACAGGAAAGCAAAAAAGCATTCTTGCTGATGATCAGTAATCCAGCTCAAACGGGTCCTCTCCACTAAGCCTTTCTTGAAAGGCGCTAGCAGAATGAACTCCCTTCTCTGGGATCCCACTACCCATGAATCTACTGTATTGCATACAATAGTCTGCAATTACTTATTTACATACTCTCTTTTCTATACTTTAGAAAGTTTTTTTTTTTTTTTT